GTTTTTGCTAATTTGTGGCGGTCGCCGGATTTGGAAATGCCATTAAACCTATTTAAAAGCTAGACTTTTGCCATTAGATTTAATGCAATTTAGGTTCCGGTTATTCTTTTGACGATAAGCTTCATTTGGTTGCCTTCAAACTTATTGGAAATGTACAATTCAATAAACAAGGATTTTTTTGGTTTGTAATTATTTTCTATAGGACTTTTGCTGGCTTTCACCAGGATTTTCACACAGTCATTATTCAATGTTCTAACAGTATTAGTCAAAAGACAAGTCTGCATGTGTATGCATAGTATTTTCCCAATGTTCTGAATACATTTATAACATAGCGGTATCTTGGTATGTGCAGGTATACGTGGAACGTTTCAAGAGTGAAATAGTTTGATAAATATGCAACATTATATTGTTAAAACTTGCTCATATCTTACTACATGTTTCCTTTAAGTCACATAAGGGGCGCAATCACAGCCCCACATTTAGAGATAAGCCCCGTGTGGGACTTATCTTTGATAACTTTACACAGGATGGTTTTATGGACTTTATAGCTAACAAGTGTAATTTTATAGAAGAAGAACCAAGGAAAAATGCGTTTTTAAATATTCAAACTTTAGTTTATTACAATGAACGTTAATTATAAATAGTGACACAATTGATTATTGATTTATTGCTGCATTCACGGGAAAATAAATATGTTGCATGATGTAATTCTAAATACCTACAAGGATTAGCTTTATTACCTGTAGGTAGTTCGTATGATATTCAAGTGATAAAAATTGCCAAAGCAAAAGTAGCTTTCCTTGTACAATTGTAAGAAGAATTGCGTACGAATTTCAACATTTGTGATACAAGAATGGTTTTTGAGTGACTAGGAAACATTGGAACTCATAGCAAACTTGTGCGATTGGAATTTTTTAATTGACTGTTTGGTAACATGTAAAATGCTGTTACACATATTTTTTATTTATTTGTAAAATTTGATAAAAGCTCTTTGCCTTTGAAAATTTTCTCCTGGTATTAATACAATTAATAATTATTTGCAAACAGAACAAGAACGAGCTCAAGTTTCACTTTTAAAGAAAGTAGACAAACAGCCAAATTAATTCAAACGTCCATTATTAATTAATTCATAGAATCAAATACATTTTCGGTTGATGCGGCACAACTTCGATCAACCAAACAAAACGAAAAAAAACTGGGACGAGAAATTATTAGAAACGATTTAGGTTTTCTTCAGGAATCCGCCGCAAAAGGATCGCTGACGTTCCGGTAACACCAAAGCCATTTTAAGCCGCAAATGTTCAAATACGTAAAACTTTAATTGGGCTAAATTCTTTTGGAGGTCGCTAGAATGATTAGTGCAGGATTTGCATTAGAAAGTAATTTCGTGAAACTATTTATCAAAGAAAATCGAGCTAATTGAAAACACTTCCGACATGCTGGTAATTATTGAAACTCGTGCTAAGGAATTTGTTATTTATATCTAAATAAATCGGAGCGATGCGGGAAATTACATAAACTCTGCATATGAATTATTGTGTTTTCCAAGCGGATAGCAGGATTTTTCCTGAAGTAAAAGACGCATAATTCTTCAATGTAAACTTCAACATATACATTATGAATGTAGGCCCAGTGCAAATATTAACTTTTACCAATTCTTTAAACAATTTTTCAAGATGGTAACCACAAATTACTCGGTGAAAGTGACACGATTGCAATGACCTGCGAGCAAGGAACCATTCTCTTATCATTGTTAAGACGACATCTACGCCTCTCTTTAATTTTTCCATTTATTGTTATAAACTGCAACTTCTGATTAAAGCAGCTGGCAGGCACGAAGAGTACAAAACTTTTCAACAAAATGCACGTGATCGAAAATTTAATCAGAATCCTAGCTTGGCAAGGTGTAGGCAGGTACTTCAAGGTGCACGTTTGCTAAACAATACAATTGTCGTGTTATTGAATACACCCAGGCTGGAATCTTCTTTGTTGGGTTCTTGCAATGGAACTTCATGGTAAATGAAACAGTTCCATGTTGCTTCAAGTCACAATGCTTTACTGAAAACGTGTTCAAGAAGAACAAAAAATTTGTTCTGGGTTTGCGGTTATTTTTCGCAAAGCGCTACTAGCAAAACTAGTAAAATTATTAATAACTTAAATTTGAACTGAAATAATGCAGATGCTAGTCTAGCAAGACATGATGAAACTGCTTTACTTCGCATGGTAATTAAGTGCGATTTAATTTATCACGACTTAATTTATCGTGATAATTACAGAGCATTTGTATACGCTCCTAGCAGCTGAAATTGGTGAAAATTCCTCGATTAGCTGCTTTGAATTGAGCTCAAAAACCCAATTTCGTTTTGCAGCTGCAAGTTTCAAAATATCTGCAAAACTCGCTCTCAATCCTCTACACTTTCCTTTGCAAAGAAAATGATGGCCAATTTTAGCGGTTTCCATCTTTAACCGACGATATATTTCAGATTGAAAACTATTGAAATTTTCATGTGAATGAGCAAAGGGTGCAATCAAAGGAGCCCTTAACATTCCGCACTACTCTGAACCAAAATAACTGAAAAAATTAAGCTTCTTGGACAATTATTTTGTTTGTACCCGACAATATTTGTCCGATTTTGAAATTAAACACTCAAAAAGCTTCACCGTCGAAAGCAATTCACTGAGCTACAGTTGATCGATTTCCTCCACCAAGTAAGTCAAAATGCCTCAAAGTCTACATCATCTTCATACCTTCAGCAAGAAGCACGGAATGCGATGAGCTGATAAAAATGTAGCACAATTTGCTGGTTTTAGCCTTGCAACTGTCCATACCTACTCTATTTTCCCAAGACGAAATTCTTTCACCCTTAAGAAGCGAGAAAAAAGGCAAACCTAAAAATGTTGCCACCGCAATTTCAAAGTATGTTTAGAGAATTTTATAAGCAAATTCCAGTCCATAAATTATTGTTAAATACCTAATACAGAACGTTTCTATGTACACCTTATGCATGCAATTATGGCGGTTGCGTAACAGTTGAATTCTTTGCTACCAGTAGGCCTCACCTATTTAATTCTTTAGTCTATTAACCGCTTCATTAATATTAATATCGCTTGTATGTCTTGATTTAGTTTTTCTTTAATTGTCTTTAGCTAGCGTTATATAAGTTCAGGTGTGCCTGGATAACAGTATACGAAATTTAAAAAAATGCCAGGGAATTTTWCTTTATTGGCCCATTCTATCATTGTTGTACTAATATAACCAATAATAATTTGTGTTTAATGGTACGTTAAATGTTGGATAAAACAGCGAATGTTCRTAGACTTAAAACCTCGAGTATTCAATTAATGATTGGCTKGATCGAAGCAAATATATGCCGGATTAAAAAAAATTAAGCTCGCCTTTACAGTAAATTTACTTACTATAACATCTGCCTCAATCATACATTTGAATTACCATGAATTACTGTTATTAGCATCAGGCCATTATTTCAGCCAATAAATTAAACTGGAGAGAAAACTGCTGTTAATAAAAATGTCCCACTTTGGATTCATGCAGTGCTTGTTTGCATCTTTACCTTTTATGAAATCATAAATTACAGACTATTAAAGCACCTTTAATGCAAGTTGCCGTTAAAAACTCGCAAATCAATGAACATGCGATATTAATACAAAAATTTATGAAATAATTTTTATTAACGCCCATACTATGATATTTTCACGGGAAAAAGTTTTCTAYTTAACAAAATACTTTTTACGTTTAGCGGTTGTTTAACCAATTTTTGCAGTTTTCCGACTTTAATTTCCGGTTTTCCYAGTCGTCTTGTCGTTTCTTATTAGTTACTTWGTGATGCAATAAGCGGGGAAAAACCGAGGAGACAATAAMAAATTTAAAACAACATAAATGAATGGTACTGAAATATTGTTCACGCTTGAATGTTTAYTGCCCGGTTTAAAAAAATRGAAAAAAGACACAGTGAAGAAAATCAGYCATACTTATATTATTAAACTGCGAGAATTTTTCCAAAATTTAAAAATTTACGTAGGTATGTGAGGAACAATAAATTTRCAWGTTTTTTWCATATGCATTTACAYGTTAAGTGACACTATTTGAAAGTCCTGGAAAACGAAGWWTTATTGAAATTTTACACATTTAAATATTTAAATTTCTATTTATTTTRATATTATTATATTTCCTATCTTGGCAGCGTGATTTTCAAACGTTTGTGGTTCGGAAAATCATARACATGTTCTTGGAMACAGGCTGTTAAATTACAACTTCYGATGCGYAATTAYTAATGTTGCTATAATTGAAAAATCGGGTCTGTACATTAAATTTGACCTTAAAAAGCACTTTTATAAACCAATGTTAGGTTAATTTGCACAATTACTTCTGCATGTTGTTAAAAGCATTAATCATCTTAAATTTATATTATAATTTATAACATGCTGAAGTAGCAAATGCGTGTTTTGACCAACAAAGCTCTTYAAAACTGTACTATTTGGCCTTTGCATTGCTGATATTAAAGYCAAATTTKACCCGTTATTACTCTTCCTATTTTAATCTTTTAATTAGATACTTATCTGCAATTATTATTTTTCTTTACATTTTCTGGCCYGAGTTAGACATATAATTGCATGATCTTCTGCCTGCTTTTAAATGTTTATAAATAGAGAGTTTTCCAATYWTTTTWATTTATTTTTTGGYTGCCACTTAGAGCGATGGTAATGGTATGGTTGTTTTCATTTRCATTCTTCTTTTCCCATGAAATGATGCAGTTTTATTAAACCAGTAACTGCTAATTACTTAAACCAACTATCAAGTTTTTACGTTTAGCTTCATGCTTTTAAGCGCGTGAATAATTCATTCTTAATTCTTCACTCCTCTGACTGAGTAGCAAAGCAATGCGGATGTTCAGCGCATCATCTTAATTTAGCTGTGATTAACAGCTGGATTAAAATAATCCTGTGCCGAATTCTGAAAAAGGAGACATCAGTTCCCTTACCTGTATATTGGTTCTTCGTACTTCAATGTACAGCCAATTATCAGTAGCAAAGGCTATGGCCAATAGTGCTACCGCTATTATACTAGTTATAGTCGCTAAACTTAAGGTAACAGCAGAACAAGGCATCTTGGCGACTGATAATGCGCTTAAACTCACAGAAAAACTGCACGAAAAACACCAAAAAACTGCGAAAAATCCACCGAAAATCGACACGAATCAGTCGCAGGTCATTTTCGGTGGCAAAACCGTCGAAATTGGTCAAAAAATCAGGTCGCACGGACTTCAAATCACGTTGACGAGGAACTACTTCGCCTGAAAGTGGTACTTCGATAGCCTCGAGAGCGAAGGAACTGGTTTTACTTGCGTACAAGAAAGTTGAAATAGCTGTTAATTCATACCACAGCGCGTCGATGGTTGTCTACCTGATGCTTTTAGTACCTCCAGTACCACAGAAGATTAATTTCTTAGGAATAGTGGGTTCTGAATTGGTTGCGACATCTAGACTCATTCAGGTCTAGTGACCAGAACCTGTTGAACTTGCAAACAGTTAACGTTTTTTTAGATAARAATAGTTCAATCCGCTATCTTGACTAATTTTAGGAAAAAAATGGGCTGGAAAATCTTGTCTTCTATCTTTTAATGTTTTAATTAACTTTTTATACATMGGYATATTGCAAAAAGCTCGTGAGATTTTGATYATCTGAAAATTGTAAGTTTGTTCCTAATATAGWATTTTCTGCTTCAAAAAATGTTATATATAATGTTGAYCAATTGGYTTASGTTTATTCGAAAGTCGTACAATCACGCAAATAAAAAGTGTGAATTGAGTATAGTTCCACTTTGTSCTGTTTCTGACGWTACAATTTTCTTGAAYCTTTTGTGTAGGCAAAATAGGCATTTYTTGTCTACACAAAAAYACATTTTCWTAWGAAAATKWRATCTAAACCAGTTGGGTTCTGAAATTTCCAGTGTATTTACTTTTTKTGCTMTATTTCSCCACGCAGTAAATTTCAATATTTTTCGCTTGATTCAATTGCGAGAGACATTTGTAACCATTTGAGGTCCGCYAATTTGCTCGTTAATTACTTTTCATAAACCTTCTTATTTTTATCACCCAGTATTCTKTYCTACAAACACCAATCAATCATCCTGTTTTTTTAATTTTTCAAAGACAATTTTCAAGCTAATTGCCTATATTCTATTACCGCGTCATTGCCCAACGATACATCATCATCTTTTAAATAACTCCCAGCTTGTTGTGGCAGATCCAATGTAACTTTCCTTCGCCTATACAAGAATAAAAGGAATTGACCAGTAAACAAATATTATGCCGTCGCTTATATGGAATTGATGGTAAACAGAAGAAAACACTTCTGATCGTTTCCAGTGATGGATCAAGCGAATCATTCGAACATAGCATTCCAGCGCTGCAGTATCCAGAACAGTAACATGGCTGATATTAAAAGCAACAAGAAGTCGTTTATGAACACCAGAAATTATTTTAGGGAATATTGCGATTATACTGGTATTCATGGGCTGAAGTTTATAGGTGAACGAAGGTCTTTATGCGAAAAGTGAGTATTCCAATTGAATGAACTTCAATCAGCAGAAGCAACTTGCGCCTTTTTGTTATTAAGGCGGCGCTGATTTTATGCTAAAGTAAAATTGATTAATCAGATAGTCAACATCCTCTAACTTGCTCATTGCAAGCGGTTTTTCATCAATTATTTTTTTCAATTCACCAGGGTTAGTTGGATCATCGTTTTCTGCTTGAGTTTAACAACGTGTATTGCTGTTGTGTATGAAGTTTTCAAAAAATGGCAAAAGAGTCCAATCATCGTGAATTTTGCCTCAGAACAAGTGAACATTTTTGATATCACCTTCCCGGCGGTCACTATTTGCCCAGAAACAAAAGTCTATAGTGACTACTTTAACTATTCATTCAGCTTGAGAAGAAGCATGCAAGACAAACTGACTATTCCTGACGATAGGTAAGCTGGAGTTTTTTAGGTCTAAAACCATCCTCCACTTGTATCCGCATTGCAGATTGAAAAAACTGCAATATATGTCGATTTTATGCAACGTCAATGAATACTATCACAATATTCCGAAAATCGATACCATCGATGAAGGCTTCTTTGCATTTCTCAGAGAGGTAGGAGAGTGATTTTTAAACCGTTCAAAAAAACCCTAATCATTTTTAGGGAGCTCCAACGTTTTTCAAAAGATGTTCATGGATGCGGCAAGATTATCCATGCGAAAAAATATTTCAACCTCTGTACACCGACGAGGGATTGTGCTTTACGTTCAACATGCTGAGCAAAGGGCAAATGTTTACATCTCACACGTATGGCTCAGAAAATGACCAGTTTATTTTTTGAATTAAGGACTTTTAGGGAAAATATCGATCGGCCACCCGATACCTACAACGATCAAATGTCGATTAATTGGTCAGCTGATTTTGGATACACTGAGGACGCAGAAATCGAAACGTATCCGCGACGGGCCTTACTTTCAGGGTCCACAAACTCTTTGGAAGTTACTTTGTCGGTTAATAACACGGATTTGGATTATGGGTGTACGCATTTCCAAGGGTACAAGGTAACATTTTTGTTTAAAAAATCCAAACTGAAGAAGCATACCTAAAGCTGAAGCAGAAGACAGACTGAAACTTTGTTAATTTATTGTTAATTTATGGCCTTCGTGTCGTTTGGTAGGTGGTTTTGCACAGTCCACATCGTTTTCCCACAGTCAGCAACCATTACTTTAGAATTCCTCTGAAAAAGTCCGTGAGTGCAGCAATCACTCCAGCTATTCTTCGGACTTCAGACGATGTCGCTGACTACAGCTCGCGAAAGCGCCGATGCTTTTTCCAAACGGACATGAAACTGAAGTACTTTTCCAAATACTCCCAAATGAATTGTCGCTTGGAATGTTTTTTGAATTTGACCCTGGATATGTGTGGATGCGTTGAGTACTTTATGCCACGTAAGCAAAAACAATAATTTCTCTGTTCAGAGAATTTGGATTTATCGTATTTTTCTACTTACATATTTCAGGAAGTAAAAATATGCCGATCTGCGGTACGGGAAAATACGAGTGCATTAAAAATGCTTCATGTAAGTCTCCTTTGACGTCCTATTTATATTCTCTAACATTTTCTTTCGCTACATGTCTTTTTATATATTAATCTTGCTTTATTGTCTTCTACTGTGCATGACATGGCATTGATATGGTTGGATAGAGAAGTGAAAATTCGATCATAACAACATGTGTTAGGAAATTCGGGCAGTTTTTAACCAGAAAGCAAAATTTGAATATCAGACATTTAGGTGCAAGATTAGGTCAAAATTTCATGTTTTCCCTCCCGTTTTTGCTCATTTTTCGGAACCAAAATGAGCAAAATCGCTCGTTTTTACTTCATTCCGGAGAAAACTAAATGACCTTTGTAGAAAGTCAACCATCGATAAGCAAATGTTGGCAGTTTTCTCAAAAAAGTCTTGGTTTCAAGAAGTTTTAGATTTGCGTATTTCTTGTTTGACTTCCAAAATCGACTCAAACATCACGCTCCTGTTTTCGATTCAGATTTCGTGTTAAGCAAGTTAATTCATTTTATATTGTATTACAATATTTGTATACATTTTATTTGTATTTTGAATCTCTTCTCAATGAACAGTGAAATTAAAATGTATCCTCACTTTTTTCACAATTTATTTAGGCGTTAGAAATAATTAGTAACGTGTTTAAAGTTCTATTAAAAATGTCACCATTTATATCTGTTAAGTTTCTATATTTTAGAAAAGTCTTCCACAGTCTGATGAACAATTTACTTCAATTTTTTTTCAGTACAACAGACTTTCTTGTTCTTGAAAGGACATCTCAGCGACCACTTGAAGGCGAAAGAACGAGAAAAAATCCATAAACATCTCAGCAAGAACCATAATAATATAAGTCGTACACATTTTTGCTATTGTCCAGATATGTGCAATACTATCGACTACAATGTGGAAATTACAGAGAGCGATTACGATTGGCCGAGGAAAATGGCTACTTTAGGGATTGAAGTTCCTGTAGATGAAGAAGGGTAAGTAAAAATCTACTAAGAAAATATATTTATATTTTATGTTCATATGGTATAATCATTTTCATTTATCGCACCTTTTATATTCGTATGAAATACGTGAATAATTGAGACACAATTTTTATTTGACAACTTGCAAAATTTCACTGATTAAGGCAACGAAAATTACTGTATACTGATGTTGAAGAAATTTTGTTTTGTAATGATTCACTAATATGTTAAATAAAGCACATTTAGAAAACTAGGAAGTTTTGTGGTTTTGTAAATTTAAGCAAATCGTTTTTTAAAGTTTGCTTCTTACGCATATTGATGATCCATTTAGTTTTATGCGTATTGAACGCGTGATTATTTTCTGGCAAATTTATAAACATTCCGAAAATTGTCAACTTTTTGGCCATAAGAGTCATAGACTTCTGTAAAAATATGAGCTTCTGTATAGGCGCATTCTGCGGTCCATCAAGTTGTATTCAATGTGCAAGAAATATAGGCAATAAATACCAAGATTAAAGACATAATAAATAATCGTCTAAATATGTCCAAATGTTGGCTATTTAATAAGATTTGCTTGATAAAAAATTACTTGCAGTTTTATAATTTTAACAAAAATGTTATATTTCATAAAAATTGAAAGCCTAAAGAAAATTATCAATTATAAATAAAGTATCAATGTTGCTGTTTTGCTTATTAAATGTTTGCTTTGTTCGATACTGAAACTGTTCTGTATTTCTGTTTGAATCGTGGTTGATAAAAATTAACTTGTAATTTTCTGATTTTGATGAAAATGTTTTATTTTCCAAATATTTCAGGCCTAAAGGAAATTATAAAGTACTGACTGTTTTGTTTTTTAAAAGCATAGTTTTCGCTTCTGCTGTTTTTTTTGGTACAATTTCAAGCATCAACATAATAAAATGTTGGCTATTAATTAAGGTCTATTTTGTCTGAAGCTAAGATTGTTCCGTTTTTCTGTTTGCATCTTGGTTGACAAAAGTTTACATTTAATTCTATAAAAAAATATGTCTGTTTGAATCAGTGAATCAGTTCACAAAAATGTTTAATTTTACGAGAATTAAAAGCCTAAAGGAATTTATCAAGCGTCAACTTAGGTCTTTTGCTTATTAAAATCGTATAATGTGTTCGTTTCTTCTGCTTTTTAAACAATTTAGATAATTGCTGAGTGTATAAGAAAAATCCGTTTGAAACTTGTTTACTAGAACATCAACATAAAAGCTGTTTTCGTATCATCTCATAAACATGTAAGTTAATTGAGGTTCCTTAAACTTTTTCAAAGAGTTCTTTCTTAAGTTCAGGAGCGACCTAATTTAAAGCTATAACATGTTTTCTTGTGCAAATCAACCAGAAGCGTTGTTTTTTCATATAAGCATCATTCTAATACCCCACACAAATTAATAATTTTCTAGTTTATCCTCATCTCAACTACTCCTGTACTTCAAGGGAAATACTTTCATACCTCAGGAGCGGCATGAGTTGTTCGGTACCTTCGATTTCTTAGCCAACGTAGGTGGATTGCTTGGACTTTTCATTGGCTTCTCCTTGCTCTCCATGGTGGAACTGTTTTATTTTTTATCGCTGAGAATTATTTGCAATGTAAAATTGTATCAAAACTGGCACGGCCGACAAGAATTGATGACAAATAATCCTTCTGGGTCCATACGATTAAATAAATCTACCAATATCAGCACAGTTTCGTAAATATGCTCTTTTTAAGTTGATGTATAATCAGAACTTTCAGGCAACTGTAGGTAGGATTGGATGTATGAAAAAATAATAAATACAATTGAGTTTTTTTAAGCATGAGCCCCACATGAGCTGTTTGTTGAGTTTGCTTAGAAATATTGTTGAATAGCATTTATGTATCTAAGAAACCAAGAAACGTTCAAATTTATTCTAGAAGAAATATTTTATGGAGTTTTAGGCCTGCTTGCTGTGGAGCCCTTATGATTTTGGCAAAATTTATATCTTGCAAAAATATGATGAATACTAATTTAATAAATTAGATGATGTATTGTTGTGCGTTTGCTTTAGTTTTTTTTAACTAAATCCTAACTTTTCAGAAAGTTTGATAACTCAATCGCTTTCATCGGCAATCATGGAAAAAGAGGGGTTTTCATATTCCTCTTCTGTTGAATCTGAACAGGAATAAAATGTAAATGCTCATGAAACTCAATTTATGATAAAAACATCAACAAAACAAAATTTTCTCTAAAAGCATTCATCACGTAGCTTACGCAAGGGTAAAGTAAAAATGTTCGCGTCTGATTGATTTAGTTTGACTTTTCTTTTTCCTGATTTAGTGAGAGTTTCATACTAGTTTTAGCTAAAATTACACTCTGCAATTTTGATTTTCATTAAAAGCGTCCAGGCATTTGCGGAATCGAAAGTAGAATTTGCGCATTCTGAGTCTTAAAAAACACATTGGGTAAATTTCAAATGGTCTCTGTTTGGGCATTTTTTTCCGAATAACTATGAAAAAACAGGCATGCTGGTAAATTTCCATAGGCCATTTTAACATCCGACGAAAGCTTTTAACACCAACGCCAAGTTCTCCTTCAGCATTCAGTTGTTTTGTGACGTTCAGCATGAACAGACCGCGCTCACTGTTCGATTCGAGCGGGTAACACGTGCATTCACAAATCACAACAAATGACTATCACCTGGACATCCGCTCGACGTCTCGACGTCTTGGACCGACGTCGATCAGAATGCCGCAATATTTTTTCACATAAAATGTGCCATCCATATAAAACTTCTAACGTTCTTCTCTGGATATTAGCTGTGGCATGTTTGGGGAGTATTCAAATTAATAACGCTCAAGGTAAGAAAAAAACTCAGGATTAAATTAATATCTATATTAATCCTATCCACCACTAATTGCCTTAAAATTCTGTTGTAAGCAGAATATTATCTAATTTAGATGCGTATCCGGTGTATTTTAATTAAAATATTAGTCCCACAGCCTCTGACAAACCGTGTTTTTCCTATGTAAACCGTATTTACTCTGACTAAACTTAGACAATTATGTTGATTAAGGTTGAACTTTGTCGAGTTCAAATTCATTAAGCACATCGGACATTATCAATTTGTGCAATTGTTTAATTTTTCGTGCGATGCAAGCACAAATTTAATATTCTTTGTTTGTTGTACATTTTACGCTTTAACTGGTCCATTAGTGTGATTTAAAGCACGAAGAGACATGAAAAAATCATTAAACCGCGCATTATTAATGCGTTGCCATTCAATAAAACATATTTTTTTAATTAACAAAAAAATCCCACTCCCTTTTCTATGACAATAAACAATGCTCTCAGGCTAAAAGTGCGCTTTATTTACATAAATTTATTATTTCATTTACATGCAGTTCCCCGTGCAGTTAAATTTTACTGAGAACTGAAGACATTAAAACTTAATTAGTGAGTTTTAAACTAACTGCAATTTGTGTGCAATACTAAATTAAATTATCTTGAGATAATTACGTTTATAAATAAAACTGAAAGAACAATCATGTCATAGATGCGGGGTTTGACCTTTATGGAGACTTTTAAGAGACGGTATTTTATACAAAAGTTAATGAATTGTAGGAAATTTATTATGCAAGATCTTTTTTGATGCTGGTGATGGAAATTGTGAACAAAAATTATAAATGTCTAAAAATGGAGCAACATAAATGTTTTATTGTGCTATTGTTTATTGTGTGTTGTACCGTAAATGATCAGGTGCTGCGCGTCTTTAAAGGGTAGCAAAAAATAATAAAAAAAATACACCAAGAAAGTCTCTAGAACTAGAATTAAATCTGCAAAATGTAAATAATTGGATAAATTTTGCAGTATAAAAAATTGCCATCGTTGGTTCAAATTTTCGAAACATTTTAATGCGTAAAACATTTTTTTAACGTTAAAAAATTTGCTTTTCTGTTTTTAAAAACGTAAATTTTTATTAACATAACAATTCCAGAACAATTAGCTTGTTTTTCTGCTACATTGTTAAACTGGTAATTCACCGCGATATAATTTTAATAAAACTTGGATGTAAATTGTCTCAAAAAGCTTTTTCAAATAATCTAGAGGGTGTTAGGAAATGATGCACGAAAAAGTCGGTAAGTGCCTCAATATGAAATTTGATTGTCAGTTAGGTGTATGAATCTGAAAAATAACGAAATCCTAAATTTTAAAATAATTTTATTAAATATTTTCTTTGATTTCAACTCCATTAACTGTTGCTCGTGATAAATGATAAAAAATTTACATTCGCTTCTTAAGCCTCGATTTGAAATCACCTTTGGTGTGTATTGAAATCAGAAAATGAGAAAACGTTCGAGAATTAACGATAAATATATTTTTATAACAAAGATGTTACCGATTTAACATTATCGAATTATTATGCAGACATTCGCGGAATTTTTATGAAAATAATAATAATAATAACAAAATAGTTTTTATGCTTGCATAAATTGCACTTTTCACCAAAAAAATCAATTCAGTTACTTTTCATATTTTTCATCATTCCCATTAAAATGCCAAACAAATATTGATATTTACCACATATTGAAAATCCTTAAACATAATTAAATAACGTCTAATAAACATATCAAAAGCTTCAACCATATAGAGTGAAACGTATTGTCTGCTACTGGGAACCAGTAAAATGATAATTTATTATTAACTATTTTAATTACCGAAGAATCCCGGGCTTTAAACGTAATTAATCATAAGAAGGCGAGCTACAAAAAATGCGACACGGTTTGGGCAGACAAAATATTTTATTATTTTACGTCTGCGATCGGACAGAACAGATCGTGGGTAAAAACATTATTAATATTATCATTAAAATTTCAATTTATTGTTTAAAAACAACAGCGTCAAGGACTGAGTTAGGAGCATTTCTGCAAAGAAAAAAATACGGTTAGGTAGAAAAGTACTGCCTAAGATTCTTAAGTGCCTTTTTGTTTCTGTTCATACCGGTCAGGTTTTCTGGATTATTTTACTAACTAGAGTTTCAGCTGAATCAGTCATAATTATTAGTATAATTGCTGTATTCGGGCACTTATTGTCTTGAAAACTATACAAGTTTTGAGAAAAAAATCCGTTTGTTTCTGTCGATTGTTTCGACTACGAAAACATACTTTTTAGTTGAAAATATTAACACGGTCTTTCTTTCTCTCAAATTTCAATTATTCTTTTAGGTTTTTCTGAGCTATAATTTAGTAATTATAGTCACAATATAAAACATTTATCTGTCTCCGGGTCCTCTTTCGTCGATCGACAGTATCTTTTAAAATTGCCTAAAAAAATCTAATTTCTAACTAGAAAACTGATTTGAGAGTTTTAATTTTTTATGTATAAAAGGACTAAAGCAAAATTGTGCAATGTTTCCTTTGAAAGCTGCCGCTTTCATTGTGGCTAACTTAGTAGATCAGATATGATCGTAAATTTGAAAATTATCATTAGTTCCATAGAACTGTTTAATGAACGCAAATCGACGCCTGTCTAAACAACAGCAAGAACAACAACGATAATTTATTATTTCCATACGATAATGCGATCCTTGCGACAATCCCATTTGAGCATTATTATTATTCATAGCATTTGTCGGCCAATCAAATGATTGTGCAGTAAATATTCGTTAGTTATAATAATAATTGCCATTAACAATAACTCGATCTGATTATTATTGAGATTATTTATTGTTATTCGTTCGTGTGGGTCGTTGACAACTTGAGAAAATCGTTGCGACACACATTCAGGCTGGGACATTGATTAAGCTATTATTTCTAATTGTGTATTGCAGCCAATTCTCAGCCAGTTTATTTAAACAATTACAAAAAGTGTCTAAATTACTGCAGACCTAAAATTTTAATGTATAGCGGAGGCAAAGGAATTATTTCAGAATTTATTTGATGGCATGCAGGTCTCCCACAATATGTTAAACAAATGCTAATATGTCTGAAAGACTTGTCATTTAATAGGTGTTTATGACCATCATTACTGGGAATCGAGTATTATTTATTTAGCGCTGTGCTTTTGTGTGGTGAATAATGTAAGACAATGATCGTTAATTGAAGAACTGGACGTTTAAGTTAATTGTTCAATGGAAATTTTGGATTAGCAATTAAAGCTGTGACTTTTTTAGCCGGATGGCAAAGCTGATTCAAGATTTTTAAAGAAAATATTTCAAAATATACTTCACCCTGTAATTAACGCGGCTCCTAAACAAGCCGAGCTTGTGACACCTCAACAAAAACGAGCAAAACCATCTGAGGTTTATTTACGGGCTTGTGCCTCTACAGCTCCCTTCTTTCTCTTTTTGCTTTGTTTTAGTCGTTTTTGTGTCTTCGCCAGATTAAATTAGCTCAATAAATTTTAAGCGATCGCGAATATGCGTTGGAACATCAATTTTTTCCCTTGGGCCATGCCCATTTAGGTGATTTGTAAGGATTCTCAAACTTGAGGGCTTGAACTAATTTTTGATTGACTTGGGGCTCAACATTCTAGGAGTTTTACCGAGAATAGCTATTTTTAGTTTTTTTTAGCAAAAGATAATCCAGTTCTAACTCACACTGAAACCCACCTCTTAAGTCTTCTTGAAATTTTATACACAATAAACGAAACCAAAAATCGGAAACAGCAATAATAATATCATCAAAATAATTGATATAAATAAACGACGTTTGAACAATTTTTCTGTGATGTTTTCTAAAACAAATTTAATATTGGTAGACAAACCACAAGAAAAACAAGAAAGTAAAAATTGTAAGCATCTTTAGTGGAGTGTTTGCACCGGTTCAAACTCACACTCAAAATCTTCACGTAAGTTTAAAGAGGCGAGTAGAAAGTGAGTTAAAACGATTCTTGCGATTTTTACTTTCGAGTTTTCTAATTTATGTTTACAACCGTGACATTTTATTTGCTAAATTTTATGTAAAAAATGGTCACAAGCCGATTTTTTTCGCTGCTCAAGTTACTCAATCATCTTGAAATTGCTGTTTTTTAACTTACTTTTTAAGTACATTACGATAATTGTTGTTCTAGAGGAATAGTTTATTGAACCTCAAACATATATTTATTATTTTGTATATAAGAATATGTAAGGTCGGGAAGTATTCCCGAAAAACTTTGTCGGGAATTTAAAATAGGTTTACAGCTGATAAGCGTTCGGATAAGAAGATTTTCAAATTAAAAAACTCAATTTTTTTCTAATGACACATCATGTATTGTTTCAGTTTTTTTTATTCGGGATTAGAATATCTTTTCTTTTTGCCAAAGTATCTAAAATTATTTTTCATAGTTTACGAGAAAATTCGGTTTTACTAAATGGATCCCTTATATTTCTTACTGTGTGCTTTAAAGCCATTCGAGTTTAATACAATTTTGAAAGAAATTAAATCCGCAAAACGTAAACCTATTTAACTCTATCACCCTGTAGATTTTTAGCCCCAATGCATCTTTTGTCTAAAAATGCTCTCAAAAAAGTGTTTTCACTTGTTGGTCAAAGTTGACTTTTTTACTTTAACTCATTTTATTAGTCGTCCTATTTATAATCTATTTGCAGGCTAGTTTAAGGCTTATTCACGTGGGTCACAGACAAATAGTTAAAGAAAAAAACTAATGGACAAAGTAATGGTAAATCACCTTTTGATTGGTTACTTTTTATTCTAAATGTTCTATTGATCATATCAGAAAATATGCTCTAAACTAAACGCGTTATTATTTTTTCAAGGTGCAACTTGCTAAAGCATTTAATTAGCTTGTTACATTTTTCATCTTCAAATGTTTCTTTTGAAGCTCAAAACATTTTTTTAGCAGAAATGTGTTCTTTAGTTTTTGTTTTAATTAGTTTTAATAAGTTTCTATAGTTTAAACCATATTTAATCAAGTACGCAACCGTGAGGAATCTCACGATTATACCAGAATTAACCAGAATTATTCCCTGCATATTTAATTTTTTTTAATTTAATAAATCAAAGGTTGCAAACACTTTCAAGTACGTTCATCTGTTATGTGTCTTCAACACAAAAACTAAACTGCTTCGAAGCACTAGAGTCAGTAGCTTGCAAAAGGTAACAAATGAAGCATTATACGAAGTTAATAACGAATTGATAATAGAAAAGTACAATACTTCGGTAAACTTTTCGTTCGAAGTTTTAGTAAGAAAAAAAATTCGATCGTCCATAAATTCTCTAAAAAACGCTTTTGAAATTCGCTTTTTCAATCATTTATACACGAAAATTAGATTTTCCAGTGCTGTTTGCCGCTAAATTGTGTTTTAGGGACCAACAATTCATGACTCGACAAATTTCAGTTTCATTTACAGTTTTTCGTCAAAGTTTGGAATATTCGCTCTGGGCTCTAAAGTATGTCAATGTTGTGCCGAGCACTTTGGTCACGAGACTGGTTTGAGAATAACAACAAAAAAATCAGAAAATACAGTTTGGAAGGTTTTTTGCAATAAAATCAGTGTCGTGCCCGAAGGGCTTGGCACAACGCATAAGATTCTAAAGTTTCTCAAAGTTGTACCGAGCCCTTGGGGGCCCCGCTGGTTGAAGAACATTAAGAGAAAATCAGAAAATACAGTTTGGAAGGTTTTTTTCCAATAAAATCAGTGTCGTGGCCGAAGGGGTCAGCACAACAAGCGCATAAGATTCTTAAGGTACTCAAAGTTAAAATTGATAAAGGTGTAAAAATAAATGTTAACCATTTTTTAACCAGCACTTATAGATTTTCATTCACAATATTTGTCCTTCTCCGTATTGACATTATCGGCTATTCCAACCTACTAATTATACGTGCCAAGCCATGTTTAAATTGCATCATAGCAGCAAACCCAACTAAATTGCCGATATCTAAATGGTAATGCTGATTGTCAATCAAACCAATCAGTGGCAAAGTCGGCACTTAATATTCAGATTTGCATAAAATATTCTATGCTAATCTGCAAATAACTATAATAAAATATCCAGAACGGAAAAATTGCTAATAACATGTTTATACACTAAATTATGTAGTTTACAACATGCTAATGTTTAATAATTGCGGAATGTTATAGGAAAATTGCTTATTATATTGAAGGTTTTCAAATAGTCCATGAATGTCTGTTCTGTATTTTTTACAAACTTCTTTTTGGGTATTTCGCCTCAAAAATTTTTGTCTTTGAAAAAGACAGAATTTTCTCACGTCTTTTATTACAGATTGATAAATAGTGCTCCTATTTCG